AAAAAAAAAAAAAAAAATGTTCGAATCACCCCTGAAAAATAACAGGAAACCGGGACGCGCCATACGGTTGTGAAAGCGTTTGGCGTTAAAAAATCATGAGGGTGTCGTTTTTCCTCGCTCGTGGTTTTCCCTTCGATTTTGAATCATCTCCGATTCGATCTATTTTTCTCCATCACAATCATATTCCAATGGAAGTTCAATTCGGTACAAAATTCCATCTAGAAATTCGCGAAACTAAATTATCCGTTACGATCAATTTTAAGTTTGGAAATATATATTGATCGGAAAAAAAAAAAAAAGCAAAAAAAGAAACCGACAAAGATCCACCAGCAACGAGTACGAAAGTGCAAAAGGTTAAGAGATTCCTGCCAGTAAAGTTCGTCGCAATGTTTTCGTTCAAGGGGGGGTGCGCCATCGTGGATGGCAACATAATCCTCGATAGAGGGCCGTGACACATGGGAACATGGGGGACATCTTATCTTCATATTACACACGCTTGACGGTTCTCAACTTGGAGTGTCTATCTTCATCTCATATACGCATTTAATAAATATCCTCTTAAATGAAAATCGCATACGGTCGATCGAGTTGGATTAAAATTCTTTCAACGTTTCAAACGTTCTCCGGGAAAATTTTCAGATGCAAAACTTTACCCTGATCCTTCGTAAGATTAAGTTCTCTTCCTTTCCTTTCTACTCTTGATGGATCGACGAGATGGATCTGTCGCGATGGAGGAGGATTCGCGAGATCGAGATTCTATTACCGTAAAAGTGCACGATGGTACAAACAACACCCTTCGAGAAGGGTGGTGAATCGCACGGATCACGCGTGCACGGCGAGAGGACACGGCTCACCCACACGTAGACACGAGCTTTCACGTTTGGGACGATTTCAGTGACCAGGAGGATGGTTTATGAGCCGTAACCTTCCTGTCCAACCGCCCACCACCCCTCCTCTCCCTTCTCTTAACTTGAAGAAGCACCCTTGCACGGAGTAACGTGACTCCATCCCCCTCTAAACTCGATCCAATATATTAGGGATAAGTTTCACGGGAAGAAACTATCGACGCCTTCATCCTGGGGACACGGATGTTCCACGAACTTTCGGATTCGTCTGATCATGGTAATCTAACAGAGATAACTCTGCTTTTTTTCCATGATATAATTAAAAATTCTAAAAAGAAAAAAACCTTTTTATACGATAGTATAAAAGTATGATTCTTATACCAATAATCCACGATTTGTTCTCAAATATTTTTAAAAATGTAATTATAAATTAAAAAAGTATATATTTTTTGAGCAGATTTACTTTCTCTATTTGTACCAAATATTTTGTATAAACAAGAAAGAAAAAGTCTAGGAATACTTTTCCATTCTTCATTTCGAATTTAATTACGATACAATGTAAATTTCGTGAAAGAAGACAAAGATTTTCAGGCAAAGTCGCGTGAGAAACGATTCGTGATAAAGAAATTAGGTATAGGATAAGGTACGATCGTTTTTTCCCCTCCCTTTTTCCCCTTCGATTTCCAGTATTCCTGGTATTCAGGGTTTCACGTATTCTTCAAGTTGATCGGACCAAGGGGTTTCAGCTCGCCCGGTCCAGACGCTGGGGTTGGCAACTTTGAAGGATATTTTTTATTCATGTGACGTGTTTGAGGGCGCGGAAAAAACACATTCTCCCGATCCAAGGAATCGTATGTATGTCCTTCCATCCTGCGAAGCCTTCAATTTTAAAATCCCCTTCGATTGGGGGAAAGGAAGTTGGGGGAGGGAGAGCATATATTCCTTCGCCTTTCCATCTCGATTCCTCGATCTCCGTTGAGAATTTTGATGAATTAACAATCGTGTTTTTCTGGAAAGACGTCTAACCTTGTCACAATTTATTTTTTCCTCCCCCTCCCTTCTCTCCCTTGTGATATAAAATATATTTCTTTACAATGTGATTTTTAATCCGATTACTTCAAATAATATTCATAATATTATCTCTAGATTCTTGAACTTTTGAAAAAATCTTTTAAAATTTCAATTGAAATTTAGAAAAGTTGGAAAAATATAGGAAATTCTTCGTATTTAAAAGATTGCGTCGATTTAAGGAGAAAGCTCTCCTGTTAATTGGCCAAGCTCAAAATCGAAGGGAAGAAAAGTCCAGGAAAGTTGCGAGACGCGGAGGTATTCCCGCGGGATATCAACGAAATTCTACGGATCGGGCTTCTTTCAAATATTTAGCAGCAATATCCAATTTCACCTCGCACATCCCTCCCTCGCTCCCGTCTCTTCGGCACCGATTCGTCGATCCCGTAGCTCGATTGAAAGCTGTTCGCCCATGAACAATTACAAGTTTACTGAGAATATAAAGGGCATCTTTAAAAAAAGAAAAAAAAAGAAAAAAAAGGAAGAAGAAACTTGGGAAAAAAGAACGAGTGCATTAAAAGTTACTTCGACTTTTTTATTCACAATTAAATAAAAGGCCGGAGGAAACAAAATACGTTAAAACCCTCCCCTCCAAATGGTTTCCCCAAGTTTGTAACAAGTTACGAATTACTTATTTATTATCATGATTTTTTCCAACTTTCTCCCGAACGAAATTAATCGAGGCTCGAAACTTTCTAACTTCTTTGTTCCGCGACTTCATTATTTCTCCTTCCCTCCTCATCTCTCTTCCTATCTCTCCTTCCCTTTTTTTCCACAGTTAGATTGATGTAAGTTCACCAAAAGATGAGGATATCAATGACGAGACGTATTATGGCTCGTCAGTTCACGAGTGACAAGCCTACACCCAGGCTCCAGACCTGAAACAGGCTAAATGGAACTTCTAAATGGATAAGATGTAAGAGTTAACACAGCAGCGAAAGGAAGAATTAAGTGTCTGATGTATGAGACGCCGTCATCCGGCCTCGGCTCTTCCGGCAACCCCGTAAATGAAAGAGACATTTCCCTCGCGGAAAATCGGTTTCGAAAACACGATTAATCTTGCCACGGGCAGCCTTGCCACTAGTAAGTAAGTAAAGCTGAATTTTTCCGTAATTACCGCACCGGTCAGTTAGAAATTCTCCGTTTTTCTTTTATCGACTTCTTCTCCCCCCGACTTTTGGACGGCAATCTAATTCCGCGTAAAGGAAATGTTCCGGAAACGAAAGCTTGATAAATTAATGGACAAAAGATCGAATTCCCGATATTATAAAAATCCCGATATTTTGAAAATCTACTATCTAATTAAATAATCTAACTTATTACTTAATTAATATTCTCATGTCTCTAAAACTGTTAAACCAAGAAATGAGTTGTAAAAATTTTCAAAATTTTATCGCGAGTTTCTTCGTCCCTACGAATATTACCCCTCCCCCTCCTATTATTCTCCTCGTATCAAAGAGAATACGTCATATCTCTTTTTAAGCCGCGCCAACTTTGCAGATTCGATCTTGCGATGCCGACGAGCAAACCGTGCCGGGGTCGAGAGGTGAACAGGGGGAAGGGGGAGGGGATAGATGGCAGGGTGATGCATGTCCCGTGTACCAGGAATGGCGGACGAAGGATGGGAAGAGGCGAGAACGTGATCCCGTGACTGATCCGTGAAAGCGTGAAAGGGTTTCCACTCCTTTTTCCACCCCTTTATCCACTCTGCGAGAACACGGGGTGTCGCGAAGCAACGATC